ACTATACGATAATACCGTTATTGTATAGGATTAAAAATATGCACGTGGGTATCAAATGGCAACATGTGATTGGCCGCGTAGCGGCCAATCACCTGCTACCGTTTGATACCCACGTGCATATTTTTGAAACCCTATACAATAACTATATAATATAGATAATATTTATATATAGTCATACTTAACACGTAATGCTTTATCGTGCGTTATTCAAATAAATTCTTATATATGTTACATGATACTATCGGCTTTTTGAATAATGCACAATTTATTAAAAATACAAAAATATTTTTGTTTTGATTTTAGATTCTATAATACTGTACAAATTATCTTAATTAAGTTGGTAACGCTAGTTGCGTTGCATCTGATCTTGAAATCTGATCTTGAAATCTGATTCGTAATTCAGTAAATCTGCACCACAAACCTGGCACACATTCAAGGGGTGTTGACCCGTTTAAAATATTTTCCGCTAAGTAAGTGTACATTATTGGACAGACGACAAAAAATTTTCCTGTTCTTTGTTACACGTATTTTCAATAATGATGTAGTTAATATGATCACGTGAAGTTTTTCTGTGATATTTCGCAAAACTGATTACGTAAGTTCATCATGGCAAAAAAATTTACATGATTATATGAAATGTCGGGTAAATTTAATTAACCGACATTTTTTGGCATTTGAGAACGCCCTGAATTTATAAATTAACATTATCTCTTCATAAAGCTTTTCGCTGCTATTTTTTTGATTCAATTGCTTTAAATTCTGATTAAATTAAAACTTTAACCTTTTCATTACTAATAGATTTAATATCTTATATTTTAACAACTTTGAAATTTAAACTTCATTTAACGAATAAAAAGGCAGTACCTTATACTATCTATTGCAGTACATTTTAATCGATTTCTACTCTTCTTTAGTCCAATATCTCATACAATACCATTTCCTAACTTAGCTTCCCTTTATCTTCTCACTACGATATTATTTTGGTCCATTCGAAATTATCATTTAAATTTTGGTTTTCTATATCTACCAGTTATTCTCATTTTTAATAAACAAATGGTAAAAATAGTAATAAATAAAAAAAAGAAAAATATTATAAAATAATAGAAAAACAATATAAAATAATATGGTGAAATCTATCTAATCACTATATTTCTTAGCCACAATTGTTCTCAACTCTCAGATTTTTATAAAATCGTGACATAACTAAGGATGGCTCCGAAAGTATTTTGGCATGCCGAAAGTCATGTCGAAATCGAAAGTCATATCGAAAGTCCTACCGAAACTCGAAAGTCTTACCAAAACTCGAAAGTCCTACCGAAACTCGAAAGTCTTACCGAAACTCGAAAGTCTTACCGAAACTCGAAAGTCTTACTGAAACTCGAAAATCTTACCTAAACTCGAAACTCTTACCGAAAGTCGAAACTCTAAACTCATTTTACGAACAAATCACGTGACGCATACTTCGACAAAGGCCAATCAGATCTTGATACAGATATTAGATATGACGATCATAAAAAAAATCATGTGACTGCACCACTTAAAATCGGCGAATAAATTCTATAAACTCTTACCCACGATCCCATTGGTCGATTTCAAGTGGAGCGGTCACGTGATTTTTTTAAAATCGTTATATCTCAAGATCTGATTTATACATGTGACCGAAACCCCCGGATTTTCGGCTTCGGATTTTATCAAATTTCAGCCTAGGACGATTATTTCCAAAACTAAAACTTTGGATGAAAGGCTAACTAAAGTCGAATCTAAATGAAGCCTTTATATGAGAAGTAAAATTCTAAACGAAGCATTGTATATAGTTGAAACTCTTAAAAAGGATAACAATGAATAAAATTAAATATTTTAAAATAAGAATTTTGCAATAATTGTTTTAAATGTCTTTTCTTTTGAATAAAACATGTCTTCGAAAAAAAAATCTTTAGTTAAGAAAAATGTGGGTGGACGTCCTCATAGTGAGATATGGAAATGGTTTGTAAAAGGTGATGAAACTTCTAGAAAAGGATATTATTCTGCAACATGCTTTTTTTGTGATGAACACTAGGATGTTGCTAAGCCAAGTAAACTCAAAACACATCTCACGTATGATTGTCAAAAAGTTGATTCAGATACTAGAATTAAGGTTTTAGTATTATTAACAAATGATTATAATTCAGATGATGATACAGCCTCAACATCTACAGCAAGTAAAAAGTGAAAATTAGAAAAAAAAGTATTAATATTGATAACGAATATGAAAATGTTCCTACTTCATTAAGTAAAGAAGACCAAATTAATAAGATATTACTAAAAATGGTTGTATGTTGTAATTTACCTTTTGTTCTCATGGAGCATCTCTTTTTTCAAGAATATACCAAAGCATTACATGGAACATACAATATTCCAAGCTGTTGGGTTTTATCAAATACTCTTTTAGATCAAGAACTTGCTCGAGTAGATCTAAAAGTTAGGCAAATTCTTGATAAGGAAATTAATCTTACAATTGCATTTGACGGGTGGAAAAACCCTACAGGTAGTGTTACTAGCTAGTTAATTATTATTAGTTAACTACAAATCGAATCATTTAATTAATTAATTAATCGATTAGTTGCAACTAATTGATTAATTATTGTGGATTGCAAAAATTATGTGAAATTTGTATTTTTTTAGAAAATTGGAAATTACTTAGAAATTGTCTATGCGATTTCTTTTTTTTTTTCTTGATCTGCAAAATTTACAAAATTTTGCAACTAATTACTAATCAATTAGTTATGATTCCAATTAATTAGTTAGCTAATTAACTAATCAACTTTGATTTGTAATACTACATATAGGTCAACCTATTTATGATTACTGTGTGATTACTGAAGAGCATAAAGAATATCTTTGGTCTTCAAAAAATTATGCTAGTATACTTCATCACACTGGTGCATTTTTAGGCGAAGAAATTATCAAGGTTGTTGAAGATATTGGTTCTAAAAAAATAGATGCGGTTGTATCTGATAATGGAGCAAATGTTCATGTTGCACAAAGAACTCTTTGTGAGAAATATCCTCATATTTTGGATATTAGATGCATAGCACATTGTTTTAATTTAATTACAGAAGACTTGTGCAAACACACATTTGTAAAAAGCATGATTCAGAAAATAGGCACTATTCATCAATATTTTACAAAATCATATGCCGCGTGTCAATTTTTGAAAGATGTGATTAAAATACTAAAGATTAAAGGTGGCGATTTAAAGGATCATACCAAAAATGTTGATCTACAATGTGGGATTGTGTTAATTCCATTGTATGACTTGAATTTGCTTTTGTGAGACTAAGTTTTTAATTTTAATTTATTTTTGTATATAGAGGTGTAGATGAAGCCTGAATAATTAGAATATGGGGTCTTTGCCTTGAAAATGACCTTATGGTACATGATACTGTAAGGTCATTTTCAAGGCAAAGACCCCATATGCCATATCAAAACTTAATTATAATGTAGCGTGAAGTGTATATTGTAACTCATAACATATTTTATAATTAGTACGTATATGTATAAGCAGCTTGGGATTTTTTGAACCATGCCAAATAGCCTGAATCACAAAAATTACATTGTGTAGTCTCAAAAATTTTGCACAGTAGCCCAACCCTAAGTATGTATATACATATATATACGTGTATATATATAAGATTTCTTATCGTTCTTGATTATTAGCAATTTAAATGATTTTGTTATAGTGAAATTCTTGCAAAAAGAACTTAGGTAAAATTAAAAAAATATAGTTACAACAGAATACACCATTATAATACTGATTTTTAATTACATCAGGAAATTTTTTAAGCTGATAGGTTACGATTACCAACAATTAATCGATTATTATCAATTAAATTTAATCGATTATTATCGATTAAATTTAATCAATAAGAACCGACGGTGGTGATTGTAATCGCTAGATATCCTTATTGATTTTAATCGATAATGTTACTAATCATTAATTTACTATAAACGATTATTATTGATTAATTTTTTATTGATAATTATCGATAAAAAATTTATCAATAATAATCGTTTATAGTAAATTAACAATTAGTAACATTATCAATTAAAATCGATAAGGATATCTAGCAATTACAATCATCACTATCAGTTCTTATCGATTAAATTTAATCAATAATAATCGATTAATTGTTGGTAATCGTAACCTATCAGCTTAAAAAATTTTCTGATGTTTGGCATTTTTTAGATTCGAATTTTATTAGTTCGAAAGTGAAGAGTAGAACTATATAATATGGATACATATATATTAAGGTAAGCTATAAACTTCTTTAAAAATGATTAAGAACGAGCATAATAATCTGTATATATCTTTTAAAATTCCAGAAAAAATAATATAAAGTTTGAAAAAATAAATAGTAATTCTGTATTACCTAAACAGTCTTAATTAAGAGTAAGGTATATATGATTTTTTAAAAGCAATTCTATTACAGTTTTCTATCTTCACTAATTCATTACTATATTATCGCAAATAATTTCATTTATAAGTTATTTGAGTAGGTTTATTGGTGAGTGATTCGCTTATAATATATAAATTAGTTCGCAGTTTTGTATGCGTCATTCACTTTAATTTTAATAATAGGTTTAAATTTTCAGGCAATTCTTTATTATGATGTAGCCAACCTTTTTTGGCATATTGCATATTATATAATTTCTGATAACTAATTCAATTCATATTATATATTTGGCTTTGAATAGTTGCTTATCATAATTCTGCAAGCGATTATTTATATCTGTTTATTATTAGTAAGCTTTCTAAAGAATTATTGTATTGGGGCAAATCACTAACTCTTCCTGACGATCACTTGTACCAAACTTCTCTTAAAAACAATTGCTATTTTCTCAAAATT